CTGGCTCTGTGGATGAGGGGAAAGCAGTGGATGTGTTGTTCCTTGACTTTAGCAAAGCTTTTGACACTGTCTCCCACAGTATTCTTGCCAGCAAGTTAAAGAAGTATGGGCTGGGAGAATGGACTATAAGGTGGATAGAAAGCTGGCTAGATCATCGGGCTCAACAGGTAGTGATCAATGGCTCCATGGCTAGTTGGCAGCCAGTATCAAGCGGAGTGTCCCAAGAGTCGGTCCTGGGGCCGGTTTTGTTCAATATCTTCATTAATGATCTGGAGGATGGCGTGGATTGCACCCTCAGCAAGTTTGCGGATGACACTAAACTGAGAGGAGTGGTAGATACGCTGGAGGCTAGGGATAGGATACAGAGGGACCTAGACAAATGAGAGGATTGGGCCAAAAGAAATCTGATGAGGTTCAACAAGGACAAGTGCAGAGTCCTGCACTTAGGACAGAAGAATCCCATGCACCGCTACAGACTAGGGACCGAATGGCTAGGCAGCAGTTCTGCAGAAAAGGACCTAGGGGTGACAGTGGACGAGAAGCTGGATATGAGTCAACAGTGTGCCCTTGTTGCCAAGAAGGCCAATGGCATTTTGAGCTGTATAAGTAGGAGCATTGCCAGCAGATTGAGGGACGTGATCGTTCCCCTCTATTTGACATTGGTGAGGCCTCAACTGGTGTACTGTGTCCAGTTTTGGGCTACACACTACAAGAAGGATGTGGAAAAATTGGAAAGAGTCCAGCGGAGGGCAACAAAAATCATTAGGGGGCTGGAAGACATGATTTATGAGGAGCGGCTGAAGGAACTGGGATTATTTAGTCTGCAGAAGAGAAGAATGAGGGAGGATTGGATAGCTGCTTTCAGCTACCTGAAAGGGGGTTCCAAAGAGGATGGATCTAGACTGTTTTCAGTGGTAGCAGATGACAGAACAAGGAGCAATGGTCTAGAGTTGCAGTGGGGGTGGTCTAGGTTGGATATTAGGAAAAACTTTTTCACTCGGAGGGTGGTGAAGTACTGGAACGGGTTACCTAGGGAGGTGGTGGAATCTCCTTCCTTAAAGGTTTTTAAGGTCAGGCTTGACAAATCCCTGGCTGGGATGATTTAGTTGGGGATTGGTCCTGCTTTGAGCAGGGGGTTGGACTAGAGGACCTCAGGAGGTCCCTTCCAACCCTGATATTCTATGATTCTAAGTGATCCATCCCCTGCTGCCCATTCCCAGCTTCTGGCAAACAGAGGCTAGGGATACTTCACAGCATAGCCTATCCACCATGAATTTATCTAATGCTTTTTTAACCCTGTTATAGTCTTGGCCTTCAGAACATCCTCTGACAAAGAGTTCCACAGGTTGACTGTGCATTGTGTGAAAAAATACTTCCTTTTGTTTGTTTTAAACCTGCTGTCTATTCATTTCATTTGGTGACCCCTAGTTCTTGCGTTATGAAAAGGAGTAAATAACACTTCCTTATTTACTTGCTCCACACCAGTCATGATTTTATAGACCTCTATCATATCCCCCCCCCTTAGTCGTCTCTTTTCCAAGCTGAAAAGTCCCAGTTTTATTACACTCTCCTCATATGGAAGCTGTTCCATACCCCTAATAATTTTTGTTGCCCTTTTCTGTACCTTTTCCAATTCCAATATATATATCTATTTACGACATCTGTACACAGTATTCAAGATGTGGGTAGACCATGAATTTATATAGAGGCAATATGATATTTTCTGTCTTATTATGTTTCCCTTTCTTAATGATTCCCAACATTCTGTTCACTTTTTTGACTCCTGCTGAAGATTGAAAGGATGTTTTTAGAGAACTATCCACAATGACTCCAAGATCTGTTTCTTGAGAGGTAACAGCTAATTTAGACCCCATCATTTTATATGTATATGTATAATAGTTGGGATTATGTTTTCCCATGTGCATTACTTTGCATTTATCAACATTGAATTTCATCTGCCGTTTTGTTGCCCTGTCATGCAGTTTTGTGAGATCCCTTTGTAGCTCTTCTTAGTCTGCCTGGGACTTAACTACCTTGAGTAATTTTGTATCATCTGCAAATCTCACCATTTACCTGCTTTTTCCAGATCACTTATGAATATGTTGAACAGTACTGGTCCCAGTACAAACCCCGGGGACACCACTATTTACCTCTCTCCATTCTGAAAACTGACCATTTATTCCTACCCTTTGTTCCCTATCTTTTAACCAGCTACCAATCCCTCTTATCTCATGACAACTTACTTTGCTTAAGAGACTTTGGCAAGGGACTGTTGTAGGGTATACTTGCCCCGCACCAGACAGGAAAGAGTTAACCCCATGCTTTGGGCAGAGGAAGCCACACCCCCTTACCGCTGATAGGCATCCTCTAACAGTTGCTGCAGTATAAAAGGGAGCCTCCCAGCTCATTCTAAGTGGATTGCCAGAGTGGGAGGACGCACCTCACAGGCTGCAGCCTGGGAGCAGCTGGAATCCCAGACTATGGGAGCCAGAGGTGCTGAGACCCCAGCAGATGCCCAGATACCTGCGGATGCCCAAGGAAGGCCGGAGCCACCAGGAGCAGTGTAGGCTGAGCAACCCAGAGACCCTGAAGACGTCCAGACCACAGCATCGGGGAAAAGGGAAGGAAGTAGCCCAGGGTAACTTGACAGTGGACCAGTTAGTGAACCGGATCTTGAGTCAGCATGTTTCGGCCAAATCCCTGCTGACTCAGAGGCTCGCATGCTTGCCACTGCCAGGGCCCTGGGCTGGAACCCTGTGGAGAGGGAGGGCCCAGGTCCCCCTACCCTGGCTGCCAACCCCCCAGGGTGGTGACCCACTTCCACCATTAGGATGCATAGCCCTGTTAAGGAGGGCAGCCTTATTGACTCTGGCTGCTAGGCTGCATAACCGTGTTGAGGTGGTCAGCTATACTGACTGTGGCCATTAGGCCATACTGATCTGACATCAAGGCTGACTATACTGACTCTGGCCATTAAGCTGTACTGCCCTGACAGCGAGGGCAGGCAGATGGACTTAACTGCAGGACTGCGACACCCTTGCCCCACCCCAAAGGGGGACAGGTTGTACTTACCCTGTGATAGAGACCTTGTCAAAGGTTCTCTGAAAATCTAAGTACACTATATCCACTGGATCACCCTTGTCCACATGCTTGTTGACCCCCTCAAAGAACTCTAGTAGATTGGTGAGGCATGATTTCCCCTTACAAAATCCATGTGAACTCTTCCCCCAGCAAATCATTTACATCTATGGGTTTGATAATTCTGTTCTTTAGTATAGTTTCAACCAATTTGCATGGTACTGAAGTTCAGTTTACCAGCCTGTAATTGCTGGGATTGCCTCTGGAGCCTTTTTAAAAAAAATTTCATCACATTAGCTATCTTCCAGTCATTGGGTAAAGAAGCTGACTTAAATGATAGGTTACATACCACAGTTAGTAGTTCTGCAATTTCACATTTGAGTTCCAGCAATCTAGGTTCTCAAAATAATTGGCTGGCTCAAAGAGACATTCATGCTGTGGCCATTGAACCTAAGCTACACCATACATTTCAGTTTCAGCCTCACCACTGGCAGCTTTCTTTCATACTGTGGCAGTTCCTTTGGAAGTTTTGCATTGATACCAATATCTCTGGATTAAGAGCAATATTTCAAAGTGCTCTAAGACCAGTTTGCAGACTCTGGCCTGGACCCCTGCAATACTCCTGCATGGTACCGTGTGACTCTGGGCTGGCAGCGTGGTAGTTTGTGTAAGATCCAACTTAATATTGTCCTGGCAATATGGCTGGCCCTTTAGGGTTCAGAAGAACATTTTGTATAGTGAGCAGAGCTTTTAAATAACTTATCACTGTACTGGACCTAGGTGCTGATTGGAGCCAGAGAACTGGAATGCAACAAAGGGGGATGTGTGATTTGTTTTTGTGGGGGATCAGGAGTACAGTTTGTGACTGGTTGGTGAGTCTAACTTCAGTGTTGACCATCAGTTCTGGGAGAATATGCTCTTCTTTTTGCAGCCTGCCCTGACCTTGGTATTTTCAGCGAGGGCTACGCTAGGCACCCCGGGTCACACCAGCATTTATCAGCATGCACTCCAGCTAGGTGCATTTTATCAGCTGTAGCTGTAAATGAACGGTGAGGGATTAACTGGAGAAGCTTGGCAGAGCTGTGAGTGTGGTATGAAGAGAGGTGCATGTGAAGCCTGAGGGACCTAGTCTGCCCCATTTCAGTGCTGAGTGTTGTAAGTTGTGTCAGTAAATGTATACAAAGGTGTGTTCTTGCCATGGGGATCGTTAGCAGTCTGGTGGCACATAATGCTCCTGGTCTCCAGGGCTTAGGCAGGGGTAAGCGAAGGCGATGACTCAGAAGGAATCCTCAGGTTGAGGGTAAGGGGTGCTAACATTTTGCAGTCGGCGATGGTTTATGTGGAATAGGCTCAGTGCAGACCAGGCAGCTTCTGTTCACTACATCCGACCTAAACCCAAGTTTTGCCTTCGCAAAGAGAAGTGTTAGACTCTGTGCTGGGGTAGGCAACCTATGGCACGCGAGCTGCTTGCCAGTGGCACTCACACTGCCCGGGTCCTGGCCACCGGTCCGGGGGGGCTCTGCATTTTAATTTAATTTTAAGTGAAGCTTCTTAAACATTTTAAAAACCGTATTTACTTTACATACCACAATAGTTTAGTTATAGATTATAGACTTATAGAAAGAGACCTTCTAAAAATGTTAAAATGTATGACTGGCGCGCGAAACCTTAAATTAGAGTGAATAAATGAAGACTCGCCACACCACTTCTGAAAGGTTGCCGACCCCTAGCCTGTGCTATACTGCTCCTGTGCTGTGTTCCCAGAGGGTTGTGTAGCAGGGGAGGACACAGGGCTGGGGTGTGTGTCCCTGGCAGGTCGGGGTGATGCTGAAACAGGACAGAGTTGTGTTTGCATTGTGGGGTGATGTGAAACTTAACTCTTCATTTCTCATTACAATAAGCTAGGGGACAGGAATCCTTACCCAGCGAGGTCACAGTCTCATAGTTCTCCTGCATGACGTCTCTGTAGAGGGCTCTCTGAGCAGGGTCCAGCAGAGCCCACTCTTCCTTCGTCAAATACACAGCCACCTCCTCGAAGGTCACCGGCCCCTGAAAGAGCAAGAGTCCAACCCTCAGTAACTGCTGCCCCATTGACAACCCCACTATTCATGGGGCAGCAGGGCCAGTCACAGGGAAGCTCTGGGAGGCTCACAATCAGCAGAGTCCCACCCCCACCCCACACAGAGCAGCCAACAGTCATCAAGGTGAGGGGAGAAAGAGAGAACCCCTCGTATTCCCTAAAACAGTGCTTCTCAAAATATCTGATGTGGCGGACCGTCAATTTTTTTCCCCCCAATGTGCCAGGGACTGGTGCCATATTTATGCCTTATTATTATAGTTTTCACATAGGTACGTAGCACATCAGATCAGAAAAACTAACATTCTTCACTGTATTGATTGGAATGGGAGTGTGGTGTTCATGCGGAGATATTCCCATTTAAATACATTGAAGACTGACTGAAAGGCTGTGTGTCTGTGTGGATAGTATAAAATGATTATTATTCATTTACAATGCAAGAAAATATTATTTGGGCATTTGTAGTAATATTAATTTATATCGGAAACAATATAATGAATACAATAAAAGTTGGCAGACATTTTTATTTTATGTTTATTTTGTAAACAAATACAATATTACAATACAAATAAAAAAAATTAAAAAATCAAACCAGCAAAGTCTCCTAACAAAGAAATTATAACAAAATTTATTAACACAATAATAGACATGTTAAAACCCTAACCTTTACTAATGTGAAAGGTGAGCCTGCTTCTTCACTGTCAGTTTATCCAGTCATGGCTCAATGGAGGACAGTGCCACATGCAATGGAGAATGACTATCCGTACTATTCTTGTACTTTGTCTTAATGACACTTATGGTTGAGAAGCCAGTCTCACAGAGGTTTGTTGAAGGAAATGGGAGAAGAGTTTTCAGAGCAATTTCAGTAAGCTCAGGATATTCTGCTTTCACTTTTATCCAAAAGGAAGCAAACGATGTTGTAGTTTCGAAACTCATCTTCAATCTTTCGTCAGCAGCCAGCTCCAACAATTAATCCTCCGTAGTGACACTTAAGTCATCTTTCAATGGAATAAATGGATTTTGGATCCATCCAGTCCCTTTCTGTGGATCTTCTTCTGCTGGAAAGTTAAACTCAAAACATTCTGCCAAATTCGTCAAGTGTTCACTGATGACATTTCATAGAGATGTAACATCAAGGTCTTCACCTGCATTGGTGATGATTGTTGCTAAGTTGTGAAACATGTCATAACGATCTCTTGACACTCAACTCGTCCATGCTTTTAGCTTTTGTTTCTGTCCGTCAATCTTGTCTGCCATTGTAAGACACGAAGCCATCCTTCCCTTCATGGAGGTGTTGAGATCATTAAAAGATGGCAAAGATATCAAGCAAATAAGCCAGCTTGGCTATCCAATCCTCATCTCGGAACAATTGTGACCAGTTTGGTTTTTTGTCATGAAGAAACTCGGCAAGCTCGTTTTGGAGCTCAAATACTCTTGACAGGACGTTTCCCCTCGATAACCAATGTACATTGGCATGCAATAGGAGCTGTTTATGATCAGCTCCCATATCATCACATAATGCAGTGAACAGTCTCGAATTTAAAGCATTTGCCTTTACATGGTTCACAATTTTTATGACCTCGCTGAGCACACTGTTCAGTTCTGTTGACATTTTTTTTGTTGCAAGACTTTCTCGGTGAAGGAAGCAGTACAGCGACTTGCATTCGGGTGCAAGTGCCTTAATCTGGGTAACCACTCCCGAATGCCGTCCTGTCATTGCGGGAGCACCTTCAGAACATACGCCTACACAGAACTTGAAATCCAACCCACATTTGTTAACGATGTAGTCGCTCACAGTCTTGAACACTTCAGAACTAGTTGTTTTTGTTGGTAGTGAAGCAGAAACAAAAACTCTTCCTTCAAATCACCCTCATGTTCAAAGCGCACATTACACCATCAGAATTGCTGTATTAGCAAGGTCTGTACGTTCATCAAGCTGCAAAGAAAAGTACTTTGCTAATTTAATCTGTCCTATGAGCTAATCTTCCATATCGTGAGCCAGATTGTGAATTCGTCGAGCGATAGTGTCATCTGAAAGTGGCACCTGAGCCACTTTCTTTGCCGCCGGCTCGCCCACCATTTCCATGCAGGCATCTTTAATACCGCTTATCACTGGTGTCTCACCGATTGTGTATGGCTTTTTAGCCTTAGCAATGCGAAGCGCTACTTTATAAGAAGTTCGCAAAGCAGAATTATTTATATTACACTTCAAAGATCTGCTTTCTTTCAAAGAACTCTTTCGGCTTTGAACCAATTTCATTATGTTTTGTATTTAAACGCCTCTTGAGCTTTGACGACTTCATTGCGTTGTTAGCCAACACATTGCCACAAATAACGCACTGCGGTTTTGGCATGCCACCATCATTCGTGGCTACAAAACCGAACTGAATGTTTGAGGAGTCTATTTCTGAGTAAAGCTAGTGCGAATTCTTTTTGTTGACAATACTTCGGTTTCATTTACATTGCTGTCAGCTGATTCAGAATTACTTGCGTGTTCAGCAACTGGATGTCTTTGCTTGATAAATACGTCAATTGGGCCTCGCTTTGCCATCTATAAAATAGGCATAAAAATAATTAATATAAATTCCATTACCCCGGGTATATACTTAATTTATGATATTAGGATGAAAGCCGAATAAATGCATTGGAATGCTTTTATTGAGAAATATGTGCAGGAGAACATTGATTAATAGGGTAAGTAATGTTAGGATAAGAAGATAATACAAATTTTAAAATTAAATTGCAAACAGGATAATAATTGGAAAGTTAAGATGGTTTGAACATATGGAAAGAATGAATAATGAACGTCAAAAATAAGATTTACCTGTCTGAAAGATATGGAGTGAGAAAGCGAGGAATTTCGAGAACTTCCTGGCAGAAACACGTAAGTTTGATTCTAGAAGAGGGGAAGGCTATAAGTAAGAACAATGAGAGCGTGTATGAAACGATATATGGCTATGGAGGAAGTGAGGATGTTATGCTCATACAAAGCACACGGGATCTTTTCAGGGGGAAAAGGCAAATACGCCGCATTTATTGAAAATACAACAGTTAGCAATGCTTTTCAGTCTCTCTCTCTCTCTCTCACACACAGACACACACACACACACACACACACAGTCCTTCCAGTAGCTGTTTATAGTTACCAGTCTGTTGTAGCTCGAGTCAATCTAATGGCCAGTTAGACTGAGCATGAGTGAGGAGCTGGGCTCTGTCAGTCGCGATCCGATGCTCCAAGGCTTTGCAGGACTGAACCCAGAGTTCCATGCCAAAACACCCCAGCTTTATAGTTGTAAATTCCCATTTGAGTCCATGCATTTTGCAATGTCATCCTGTAATCATTAGTCCTTAAGTGGTGTTAATCTTGGGGTTTTCTGCTGTTATTATTTGATGGTTATTGTCGGGCTTCCCATCGTTATCTCCTATTTGTTGTCTCGCCTTCAGGGGTGCCTGTCTCACCTCTGAGGTCGTCAGTGCTGCTAACATGTTTAGCATCCGATACAATGGATGTTTTCTAATTGTCTCCTGGTCTTTCCAAGTCTCTCACTTTTTCTTTTAGAGTAGCAGCCATGTTAGTCTGTATCCACAAAAAGAAAAGGAGTACTTGTGGCACCTTAGAGACTAACAAATTTATTTGAGCATAAGCTTTCGTGAGCTACAGATCACTTCATTGGATGCATGCAGTGGAAAATACAGTAGGGGGATTTTATATACACAGAGAACATGAAAAAATGGTTGTTACCATACACACTGTAATGAGAGTGATTGGGTAAGGTGAGCTATTACCAGCAGGAGTGAAAAAAAAAACTTTTGTGGTGATAATCAAGGTGGGCCATTTCCAGCAGTTGACAAGAACATCTGAGGAACAGTCGGGGGGGGGGGGGAAGGAAATAAACATGGGGAAATAGTTTCACTTTGTGTAATGACACATCCACTCCCAGTCTTTATTCAAGCCTAATATATGGTGTAGAGTGGAATAAAAAACAAAAAAACTTCAAAACCAGACTCCAACGAGAGACTGCTGAATTGGAATTAATTTGCAAACTGGATCCAATTAACTTAGGCTTGAATAGAGACTGGGAGTGGATGGGTCATTATACAAAGTAAAACTATTTCCCCATGTTTATCCTCCCCCCCCCCCCCCCCGACTGTTCCTCAGACATTCTTGTCAACTGCTGGAAATGGTCCACCTTGATTATCGCTACAAAAGGTTTCCCCCCCACCTCCCCCGCCCCCCGCTCTCCTGCTGGTAATAGCTCACCTTAAGGAATCACTCTCATTACAGTGTGTATGGTAACACCCATTGTTTCATGTTCTCTATGTATATAAATCTCCCCACTGTATTTTCCACTGAATGCATCCGATGAAGTGAGCTGTAGCTCACGAAAGCTTATGCTCAAATAAATTGGTTAGTCTCTAAGGTGCCACAAGTCCTCCTGTCCTTTTTGCGGATACAGACTAACACGGCTGCTACTCTGAAACCTGTCATTCCTTTCTGTTATTCAAAAAGGGTGGCTGGCAGAATGAAATCAAAGTTTACATCAATTCTTATAGTACAATTAGTACAATTATAAAATCCTGCTCCTACAAGGACTGTCTATTTGGCTATAGGTGTGTGGGGCTCAAGAAGGGCAACTGGGGAGATTTCAGAGCAGGCTTCAATTTAATTTCACATCAAAATTGCCCCAGGCGCTTTCCCTGCAGAGAGACACTCCAGATTCTGCCACGCTGGGAAAATGCTTGATCACTTTATTACAGTGCAGACCTGGCCCCTCCCACCAGGACTAAACCCACCAGAGACATTTTTCAATCCTCCCAGTAACAAACTTTCTGAACCAAATGGTAGAACAGAAGAGAACTAAAGGAGTTGGTTTGGTTGGGGGATTCCCCCAGACTTGGTCCCCAGGGCAGCATGCTCCCAGGCAGGGGGAATAGGGAGACTCAGGAACTTGCTTTTCCTCCTTCTGCTCCT